CTCATTATAAGTGGGTCCATATTTTTTGTCTATTTTACTACTTTTATTCATGTATTCGTTTATGAATGGAATAGATATTGCAGGATATTGATCTATGTACACATTTCCTGATTCTTCAGTAATACCTTGATAATCATTATAATTATTATCATTATAATTATCATTATAATTGTTTAATGATTCTTTTTTAATTTCAACTGGTTCATCTTTATTAATAATTTTTTCAACATTATCATGTTGAGATAATGATTTTGATGACTTTGCAATATGCTGAAGTGGTTCAGATATAGGTTTGAATAATGTATTTAAAGTTTCATCCAACTCAGATCTACCTAGTTTTAAAGCTAAGTATTTCTTTCTAATCGTTCGAGACTATTCAGCAATTTTTCTTTTACGTGCTGCAACTTGATTATCGGACATCTTGATTAAAAATGATATTAAATATAATGTTTCTACATTTTTATATACTTATCGAATCCTTTGCGATATCTGCCACAATTCAGTGCAAAATCTTTTACAATCACAAAAGTACCGTACCTGTCAGTCCAACACTGCGAACAAATCTTTTTGAAATCATCAAAACTCATATCTGGCGATACATGTTCATCAAATACGTATTTTAAATTGATTTCATCCATTTTAAATAGCATAATTATATTGCAGTTGTCTCGGACTAATTGTTTCGGAGTTCTTGAGTATGTCTGACATAGGTAGATCACATCAATATTTTTATGTCTACCCATAGAATAATATTCCTTAATTTTATTTTGTTTGTCGCATGCGACATCATTAAATATAAAAATTGAATTAGTTTTGGCTTCATGAGGACTAATAATATCATCATTATCTTTATATGGAAAATATCCTTTTACGTTACTTAAAACCTCTTGAAGTAACTGATATTTAGGTTGATAGAGAGATTTTGAATATACATAAACATTTTTAAACTTAGCGCCATTTAAGTCGAAGAGAAGTGCTAGCATTACATTAGTCTTACCACATCCGCTAGGACCACATATAATAGCACGAAAGGAATCCGGTAGGAGTTTCCCATGTTTTCCATGAACGTTTTTTGCGGGTTCAAAATCAAAGTTATCGATTGGTAATGTCTGTTCTTGTTGGACAACATTCATCTTGTAATACTTTTTTTAAAATGATGATAATTATAAATAAAATTAACTATATGATAAACTATCATTGTTATGTTGATATTTCAGGGAGAAGGAGTTTTAAATACTCTCATAAACAAACTACCTTTTGAATTACATCTACCTGGCTACGAATTTTGTGGGCCAGGTACAAAACTACAAAAGCGTATTGCACGCGGAGATTCTGGTATTAATCCATTAGACGCCGCATGCAAAGAACACGATATTGCGTATGATCAGTATAAATCCTTAGAGGAGCGTCATAAAGCAGATAGAGTATTAGAGGACATTGCGTGGACACGCTATAAATCAAAAGACGCAAAATTTGGTGAAAAGTCAGCAGCTTTAATTGTCACAAACGGTATGAAGGTGAAAAGAAAGGTTGGTATGGGTTGTTCCTTTAAACGGGATATTATCAAAAACGTTGCAAAATCGTTAAAAAAAAATCCATCATCAGATTTAAAAAAATCCGCAACACATGCATTGAAAGCTGCGAGACTTGCAATTAAAAAAATAGGTGGCAAAAAGCATGTTAAGATTCCTCGAATAATTCCATTTGAAGCAAAATCAGGTGGTTTTTTACCCCTTTTACCAATCCTAGGAGCCCTGGGGAGTCTCGTAGGAGGCGCCAGCGCTATTGCTAGGACTGTAATAGGTGCAAAGAATGCTCAAAAGAAATTACAGGAAGATTATCGTCACAACAAAGCAATGGAATCAATAGGTAAAGGGTTGTATCTGAAGAAATTTTCCAAAGGTGGATTCGGTTTATATTTAAAAAAACAAAAAAATTTCCATTAAAGCTACCCAATAGACCTTTATATGATAGGGAGTTAATAACGTACGCTAAACGCTTAAAAATACCTCATTTCAGAGGTGTTTTTATGCGAGATAATTTACCAAAGACGGGTCCTCATCAGCACGAATCCGCAATCTTGAATCTAGATACATCTAAAAATAAAGGTACACATTGGGTAGCGTATAGAAAAATGAATTGTAATGTTGAATATTTCGATTCATTTGGTAATCTAAAACCACCGAAAGAATTAGTAAAATATATGAATAAATTATAACAATGATCAATATCAAAATTATAATCAAATAAACTGTGGACATCTGTGTTTAAAATTTTTGTATAATTAATGTTTTTAATAAATATGTTAAAATTGAAAATTTTGTTTTATTTAAGACCTTACACCTTCAAAAATATATCAGTCATGTCGCAGCTTTTAACCCTTTCAAGTGAGACTAATGAATTCTGCTTCACTCCTACAACTCCAATTGTATTAAATCCAGAAAAAAATTATTTTTTAGCTGTATTAGGCTTTCATTCCTATAATTCAATTCCAAACGTCGTAGGAGAAAAGTTTTATTACTACGAAAAAAATAATACGAGTATTTTGAGAGAAATTACTTTTCCTACCGGGTGTTATGAACTATCGGATATTGAGATATACATAAAGAAACAGCTTAATAGCACCGACGATACAGATTTCACTTTAAAACCCAACAACAATACTCTCAAGTGTGAAATTTATAGTCGAAATCATACAATTAATTTTGAAAAGGATAATAACATTGGTAATATATTGGGATTTTCTAAGAAACTACTTGATCCTAATAAGATACACTTTTCCGATCTTCCCGTAAATATTATAAAAGTAACAAGCTTACACTTTGATTGTAACATTACTAGAGGAGCTTTCTTTGGGAATAATCCTGCTCACACTATCCTCGAGTTCCCGATAACTGTTGATCCTGGTTACGCAATCATTGAGAGACCGAATACGCCTATTTTTTTACCTGTAAGTAGTATAAGAGAAATAACTAATATCACAGTGGAAGTACTCGACCAAGATCGTAGACCGGTAAATTTTCGAGGTGAAAAAAGTACTATTCATTTAGAATTAAAAGAATACTAAATGGGTTTAGTGATAGAATATAAAAGCCCATCTTCGCACGCAGTTTCATCAGTAACACATCGCACTGCCAAACGAAGCGAGCTAACACCTGCAAATAGATTATTTCTTAAATCTCTAGGATTCAAATTGAAAAATGACAAAACGCAAATATATTCGCTCCTTGGACGACATAGATGAGCGCGTGCATGAAAAATCAAGGATCGATCCTATGTTTCAAATGTTTGACACTAAACCACAATTTGATGAATCTTTTAGAAAAGTAGAGTCTCGAATTTATACGCCATTTATCAAATCATTCAATAACAATGATGCGGTGGAAATTATTATAAAACAAGTTGATTCATTTTTCCTTATGAGTGACGCGTTATTATGCATTAAAGGAAAATTAGATGTTAATGGTGGGGGAGATGTTTCCCTAGCACCTAATTTTGGAACATTTCTCTTTGATTCTTGCTCATACAGTGAAAGTTCTAAAGAAATAGAAGTAGTTCGTGATACCGGTATAGTAAGTACTATACGATCCTTGTTGTGCTATAAACCTGAGGATTCAAAACATATGAGCATCGGAGGATGGAATTATCCGAATAATCCACATTTGAATAAACAAAATAAATTTAGTTTGGTGATGCGTATGGATCATCTATTTAATGTTTTAAACGATTATACTTTAGTCACATGTGGAAATCAAACATTTCGACTAATTCGTGCCCGTAACGATAATGATTCTATAATTATAACAGAAAAGCCTGCCGGTGGGGTATAACAGATAATACGGCAAAAATAATAATTGAAAGTTTAGAATTACGTGTAAAACATATATTTCCAAACGATGAAATTAAAATAGAATTGATGGAGTCTATAAAAAAGGATCGATCTATATTGATACCATTTCGGAAGTGGGAGTTAAATGAACTACCAGCGATTACTGCTGGTGCTAAAAGAGAAATTTGGTCTGTCAAGACTAGTGCATCTGTAGAACGACCCCGTTTTGTAATTGTATGTTTTCAAACGGATAAGCGAAGTAACGTAAAGGCTAATGCTATATGCTCTGATAATGCTAATGTTTCAAGTATAAGGTTATCGTTAAATGGAGAATACTGGCCCAACGAAAGAATACAGCATGACTTCAAAAACGATGATTATATGATGGCATTCCACGATTACACGGAATTCTATTCAAGCTATTCAAATTCCAAAATAAAACATCCTCTTTTAGATTATACAGAATTTAAAAAGCATGCTCCCTTTGTAATCGATTGTTCTAAACAAGAATAAAAAATGAAATCATCCACAGTTGATGTAAGACTAGAAATTGAAAGTGATACTGGATTCCCCGCAAATACTAAGGTTTACTGCATCATAGTGCATGATTCTATGGTTGAATACTTCCCGTTGACAGAAGTTGTAAAAATTATAATTTAATCTAAATCACTGTACCCAAGAAAATGTTGAACATCTACGCTACTGTTTTATAAATATTTTACCTAAAAAATGAAATGTATTTACGTTATGTTTTTATTTAATAAATGAAATTTAAAATAGATGACGTTTTATTGAAACACAAATACATATCGTCGACGATATGACAATACCTGCTAAGTGCAAGATACCCTTTTTTACAGGAGAATAAAAAAACATTATGGCGCTTGTATGTGGTGACTCTTAAATGTTAAATTTTAATATATTTAATAAAAATATGTGGCCTGTGACTGTAAAAAACTGTTTTAGGTAAATATTTTTCGGTTTTTATTAAAATACAGATAGCAGATATTGTTTCATTTTTTTGTGATCTTAGCAGGTATTGTTATTAAAAGTACTAGTAGTTCTTTACTTAAAAAAGTTTATTAACTTAATAGATACACGAACAAAAACAATGAAATGTAGTTATTTATAAAAAATAAAATAACTTAAAACAAAGAAAATTTAATGAAACTTAGTTTCGCCTTTTTTTGGGTTGTACTTGCTTGGCCCGAGATTTTGAATTTTTGATTTCTTGTATACTATTTCCATTTGGATTTTCAATATTTTTTCCAGTACGATCTTGTATGTATGGTAGATTGTCATAAAATAAGTGACACTCTTGGGATATAACACTTTTCAATTCTTGGAGGTGTTTCCATTTTTTCTGTGTAATTGGCAAGCGTTCTTTGTAGAGCTTAGGATAGTTCAAAATAGGAGTCATTTGTTTTGGTCTGCATGGAAGATTCTGAAATTCTAAGCTAAAATCAAGCTTCACTTTTATTTCACCGTTGGTGTCGTAATATAGAGCCTTAATGTCTGTTACAAGATTATCTCTGCCTGGTCTTATAGTGGAATAACGATGGCTTTCTGATAAACTGTAATCGTTAAAAAATGTGTGTCTTAGCTGAGTGACTTCATATGGCTCAGGTTTTATTCTGGCTTCCATTGATGCTTTAACATAGTCACTAGGCAATTCAATTACCCTATTCCTTAATTTTCGTTCTATGCAACTATGCACAGAATCACACTCCATTTGCGTGTGACCTTTAGTTAGGTATTTTTGAGTAATAGAGATTCTGTGCATAATTGCAAAGTTTAATAAGGCATTTGACAAAATATTATTTCTATTTTGGAATGTGCATCCGTCAGAATAAATTATAATTGGTAGATTATGTCCTAAGCAATGCCTCTCTAAATAATCAAGCACACATGAAACAAACGTGGAGGCCTGTAGTCCGCAATCAATTTCAGTGAACCAGTAACAAGTAACATGGTGACTAGCAGAATTATAAACGGTAAAGTTGTGGCAGCTCAGTTTTGTCTTAAAATATATTTTGGTCGCATTTAGGGATGGAGCGACTTTCACTGCTTGTAGATCCATACATAATAAAATACATTCTTTTTTTAATGCCTTAGCCTTGTCATTAGACTGTTCTTTTCTAGCCATTCCCTTGTCATCAATGTGTTTTTTCCATAGATTTTCATCAATATTTTTATTCTCATATTCAATACACACATCACAACGATCTTTTTTTGGCGAAAATAAACTAAGGTTCTTTTCTTTAAACATTAGTTTAAATGTTTGAGGACTAAGAAATTGTTTATCTTCTTTGATACAGGTTTCCTTATAAAAATTATGCAACTGCTTTAGTGTAGTAAAATGTTGTTCTAAATATAATTTGTTGCTATCCTTTCTTGTATAATGGGAAGGCTGTTTGGGAAGTTCATCAAAAAACCAACTCATAAAAGCTTTGCTTTCTTCAAAAGCATTTACCCTGTAATTTCTATTTTTACGTCGTTTGTTTTGCTCGCATTTTGACTCGTTCATGTTATACACACTATTTTTTATCCAGCTCTCTATCGTGAATCTCCCTAAACCTATGGTATTAAGGAATGACTTACGGCATACTTGAACTAACTCTTTACCATTGTGAAGTTTATAAACCATGGTATTTTCCCGTCTACTACCTTCACTTTCCCTCGTTTTTCTGGATGTAGATTGAAGGCTCACATGTCCAGACACAAACAATTTCCTCTGATCCCACGTCATCTTTTTCCAAAAGTTAGCAAATATTTCTTTTCTAATCTGTTCACTAAAAGTATTGCAGAACCTTTTCTTAGATTTTATACACATTTTTGACACGCAGGGTTCTCCAATTTTCCTTGCCGCCCGAGGAATATTATGTTTAAAGTTTTTGTTTTTGTCCCGAGAAAAGCCTACATAATCTTCGCCTTTCATTCTAAGCATTTGATTTTTATTTCTTTTCCATTCGCTTTTATCAGCTATATTTTTTCTTTTTCGCCCTTCGGTCATATCTCCCCATTCAGCCTCATTGTTGTTCTCTTGACCATCGGCATTTTCAATTTCTTCACCTTGAAAGTCGGCGTCGATATTCTTGTAAGAATTGTCCATGTAAGCATTATTAAAGGAATTATCGTCGTCGCTGTTGGTCTCGGACTCGCTACTAGGGACATAATCAGCATCAACTTTAGAAACGGGTTGGTCACTAATATTAATACAACAACCAGCACTTGTACTAGGTTGTAAATATTCATACTCTAAACTGCAATCAGTTTCTTGGTCAGCAAACAATGGAAGATCAAAATCAACATTATTTTCTATTGCATTATTAATTCCAACATCATTTAAAAACACTACGGGCATATTTTCTAAATCAAATTTATCAGAAGTTTTTAAATTCTTATTAGTACAATCTTCTAATATTTCTGTTTCTGGTACTAAATCATCAGAACTTGTTCTAAACAATTCATTTTCGGTATTACTATTTGGTAAATTTGTTTGGGTAATGTTATACGGACCTAAATTGGCGTATTCGCTAGAAGCTAATTCTCGTATTTTTGATTCTTGTGGTTTAGAATTTTTTGTGCTCGAGACGTCATGCTTTCTGAAAGAAAGTAAAATATCTGCTTTTATATCCTAAAACTGCTACAGACAAATTGACAAAAAAATTACAAATTAGAATTAATATTAATTATAACGATTTTATTGAGGGAAAAATAAAAAGTTCAAGGCAAGCAGAACCTGCTAAATGTAATCAAATACAGTAATAACATAAATGCAATAGCTGCTATTTACGTTATATCAAAAATCTAGTTTTTACGTAGAATCTAAATTTGTATTACCCAAAAATAATTATATATCGACATTAAGAAAACTGAACTTACCCTTTTCTTAAACACATTCAACTTTTAACTTCTATTAGATAGCAATAACTGGGATTTATAGCGAATCGTACCTAATCGGTCGGTATAACCTATAATAATAACAAGAAAACTGACAGATAGCAGGTATTGTCGCGCCTAACAAAAGGTCGATTAGATAGCATGAATTGTTTTCATTTAATAAAGTAAGAAAAACATTTTTTCTGTAGTTAGCAGACTATTTCATATTGCGCGCTAAATATGTATGAAGCTAACTACACAAAAAAGTCATATTTGCCAAAAATGTCAGATAGCAGCTATTGTCATAACGTCGACGATATTTTCAATCATTTATTACTATTTAATTTTCTTTTTATATATTTTATTAACATTTTTAATAATATAATAAGTATTGATGATAAAGTAAAAGATGTAAGAACAAATAATTTATAAAATTCATTTTGCGTAGTATCGTTTCTTAGTATTTCTTCTCCAACATGTCTTAAATCAATTTCCAGTAAAGGTTGATCTAATATAACAGTTTTCCATGCCTGAATATCTCCGACACTCGTGTCTGCAAATATAGGTTTCAATTTGTAATTGAGCGTCTCTTTTGCAGCCATAGGTATTTCTATCGAAAATGTTTTCAAATTATCATCATTCACCATTGACAAATTCATTTATTTCCATTCTGAAAGCGTACAATCTTGTCTTAGGTTCTCCAAATCAAAACAAACGGACATATGATCAACCCCATCCGGCACATTGGTATATAGTATACCGTTTAAAATTGTTGTGAGTATTATTAAATTTATATTTAACATGGTTTCGGCTCAATTCGTCTTAAAGGGTAAATTGCCTGAGGAGCAGGGGTTCGATATTTATCAAATACTTTATCCTACAATTTCAAATTTGCCAATTCTTCTATAGTTTTACTTTTATCCTCATAAAACTTTATGTCCTTACTAATATTACGGACTTTTTCACCAAATTCCTCAAGTTTACGTCTATAGTCTTCCGAAGACATTACACTAATAATGATTTTAATAGACAAATACCTATTAAATAAAACAATATCACGTGACAATAAAAAAAAAATGTAAAAATATTCAAAATTATGGAAACCAAAGTTATTTAATTAAAATAACATCATATCAACGCGTGATAGTAAAAAGTCTAATTAAGTGTTGCAAAAGGAAATCGATAATCAGCAAAACTTTACAATCATATTTTAGCATGTTTCTGATAATGCTAAAATATCCAAAATAATTTTTTGCAAAGGAAGTTGGCGACTAATCATATCACAATTTCCTACCATGTTATTAACAAAATATCTAAATTAGGTGTTGCAAATGTCACTCACAATTACCCAAATTTTTACAATCACATTTTATATCTGTCTTGATAAATTAAAAATATTAAAAAAATAATTTCGAAATTGATTAACAATCTGCAAGCTAATTTTTATTTCTAATCTCTTATAACCGCCAATCTTAAAACGTGCGCAAATTTGATAATTTTGCGTATAAATACCCATGCAAATATATCATTATTTATAATTCTTCGAGAGCTTTATTGTTACTATACACTATACACTATCAACCATGAAGATTGCGTTCGTCGATATCCAGGGATTTACCGTTGAAGGTATTTTCCACCCTAAGGAGTTGTCGATAGAAATTGGATTTAAGCAGTACCATTTTCTATTTACGTCGGCAATTCCGTATAACAACCTGGATGAAATGGACCGGAAGACAGTGAGATACCTGGAAAGAAATGTCCATGGAATCCAGTATACGTCAGGGTTTGTCGACCACGGACAGGTAAACAAAATATTAGAATCAAACTTGCTATATTCTGCAAACTATATTTACGTCCGTGGTAACCAGAAGGCGGAATTTTTGCAACGAAAGTGCCATGAACTAGGACACTATCCGGTCATTATTGACGTGTCTCAATATGACGACACCATCCAAGCGACACCCAAATTTGAAAGGACCCAGGATCATTGTGCCAACCACGACAATGGGCGATTCAATTGCATGCAGGAGAATGTAGGGATTTTACGGTGTTGGTTCCTGAATACGATCCTACCTAAATAACACCAAAAAAAATCTAATTTTTAGGTAAAGTTACATTGTTATATTGTTGCATTTGTTTTATTTTATTGTATTATATTGTATATTATATTATATTAATAAATTAAATTTAAAATAAATTGAGTTTTACTTCTTTACATTTATATCAAAATATAGCTGTACCCAAGAAAATATTAAACATCTACACCACTGGTTTTTAGTAATAATATCTTAGCTAAATAAAAATAAATTATTAATTAAAAAACAAAAATCAGCATGCACAGTAAATTCGCATGTGGGAGTAATCACAAGCAAAAAGTAACAAACATTTAATCATATCAAATTAAACAATCACATCTTATATCAGTCTTAATTACAAAAAAATACCAAAATCAGTTTCTGCAAAGGAATTTGATTAACAATCTACACAACATAATTTTTTATTTCTAATTTACGCGATAACCACACAAACTAAAGAAAATATTCAATCATTTAACACCCAAAATACCCACGCAAACATACCATTATTTACATTCTAGCGATAAAACCCCAAATTCCCAAAATCAATTTGACCAAGGAAGTCGATTAACACAATCTGCAACCTAATTAATATTATTTGCAATCTCACTTAATCTCGCACAAACCAACACCAAATATTCTATACACATTTTTAACACCCACGCAAAATGTACCATTATACACACACACGCAATCCAACAAAAATCAACCCCACTGACGTCACACAACACAACCCCATCTCCTCACACACCCCACACAACACTTCTTCATATTCACACCCCAACTACACACATCTACCATCAACCAAGCGTCATCGAGCTCACTTATTCACATCAGTACACTATCCTACACACATTTTGAATTAGAAACGGTCTTGCTACACTACTTATATATGTATAATTTTTAATTATTTTTTAACCCTTTCGGTCACCGCGTCGTCAATTGACGACACCCAATTTCAACATCTAGTATAGCATATAAATGTTTGTCAATACCATTTAGTCACGCTGTCGTCGATTAAATACACCATTTAGTACCGAATGCAGGGGTGGGAAACTGGTATGCGCAGGCCTGGGATCAATCAACCACGTCCGCGTGGCGCTGCAGACGGGTGGTGGGGTAGGTGGTGGGAGTGTAAATGACAGGATTAACAGGTGAATATTGATTTTTGTGGGGGTGTCTTAAACAAAACGTGAACTTTGTTTATTTATATTGGTGACTGTTGTATTCAGTTGTTTTCATTTCCAATTTGCTTAATTGATTTAGTTGACCACTGTTAATAAGCTTGTTTTTCCATTATAAATTTGTGCTTTTTCCGCTGTTATTTTGTGGTTTTTCATAAAGATGCGTAATTATAGAAAATGTTGTGTACCGAATTGCCTTGTTGTGGACAACAAGATGCATCGCCTGCCGCAGCCTACGAATTCACCCGATTTATTTGATATTTGTGCACTTGCTGTTCGTTGTCCAAGATTTAATAATAAAACAAGACTACAAATTTATTCCACCTTTGTAGTATGTCATAAACATTTTGAAGAGAAGTATAAAGTAGTTGGCTCTCGTCGAGGTCTAACACCTGAAGCATTTCCAACCCTGTTTCTACCAGCAGTTCCTGGAAGAGTAGCGGATGGACTTTCCTCAAATAACGTAGAAATTGAACACCTACTTCAAGTAAAGGTTCGAAGAAGAAGCAGACTAATAATATATGTTGGACTTCTTTTCGAGAAGGAAAGTTAGTAATCTACTCATTTATTTTATACTTATACTGTGTAATTTCTGTTTCATGACATTTGGGGTTGCAAAGCTGTATCGTAGAAGAAGAAGCAGACTAATAATATATGTTGGACTTCTTTTCGAGAAGGAAAGTTAGTACTCTACTTATTTATTTTATACTTATTGCTGTGTTTGAGAATCCACATCAGATGCATTTTTTACATCTCGAGCGTTCTTTTATCCACATACCTATATATAAAACGTTTATTTAGTCAAAAAAACTATTGTTTACATGTCAATACATCTTCACGTTTAAAATATAAAAAATACATAAATATAGAATCAACATACATTAAAAATGCAATAAAAAAATACATAAGATACAGTACACTTACTTACATGTCAACTATACAAAACAATAAAAGAACAAGAAAGAGAAAAAAAAACGTCAATAGGTGAACAGGTATTCACGCAGTTTTATTTTAAATATTGCCACATTTGAAGAACATCTAATATCCTCAGGCAAATTATTAAAAGCCTGTACACCTTTAAAAAAAAATAAATTTTGTGTACATTTTTCTTATTACCTGTTTAGGTTCATGAACATCCTGATTATAACTTAAAATATTTTGTAAATATACTCGGGAGATTCCTGATTTAATTTTAAATATAAAAAGCAGGGAATAGAATAGCAAATATTTTTTAACAGACAACCACTGAAGCACATTCAACATGGAATTGATTGGTTCCAATCTCGAACAGCTCAGTATTATCCTCAGACCTCTATTCTGCAACTTTTGCAATCATTTCAACTCATTCTGGTTGAGCAAATACAGTATAGTGGCACAATAATTAAAATAAGGTAATATTAAGAGTATTATAAATTATTATTTTAGCCCATTTGCCGAGATGTGGAGAACAGCGCCTCAAATAGTTTATTTTAAATCGGACACATCTGTCCCATTACATTTACGTAAACTGAATCACATGATCAAAGTTTTACTACATCTCAGTTGCATCCGATGTGGATTATCAAACGCGGCATATACTGTGAAATTTCTGTTTCATGACGTTTGGGGTTGCAAAGCTGTATCGTAGATGTTGGACTTATTAAAAATAAAGTATTCCTCGGACTTATAATTTTTTATTAATACATTTATTTTAATGAGATTGTACTTATACTGTCTTTCTTTTTTCACAGCTACAGTTCTTCACAAAATGATGGACAGTGT